TGATGGATATGTAAGTTACCTTAATTTGATTATTACACATTGTATGTAGGTGTTGATACATCACACTGTACCCCATAAATATGTACAATTATTAGATGTCAATTTAAAACTTATGAATAAATGAAAAAAAAGAAAAAGAAAAAAGACATGGATTGGCCTCAAGGGCATTGTGCTTTGTGAAAAAAAGTAAATCTCAAGAGATTAAATGTACGATTCTATTTACATAACATCTTGAAATGGCAAAACAATGGAGATGGAGAATAGATTAATAGTTGGCAGGGAACAAAGATAGGGTTGGGGTGAGGTGTTAATGCAAAGAAGTAGCAAGAAGGATATTTTTGTGCTAATTAAACAGTTCTGTATCTTGATTGCAGTGATGGCTAAGAAATATATACATAGAAAAAATTGTATAGAACTACACACACATACAGGGGTACTTCGAAAAGTTTGTGGAAAAATAGAATTAAAAGATAATACAGATCTTTTCATGAACTTTTTGAGGTACGCTTTTATACACACATACAAATGGATGCAGTGTAAAAAAATATCAAAAACTGAATAAAGTCTGTTGTCCAGTTAATTGTAATGTACCAATGTCAGTTTTCTGGCTTTGATATTGTTCTACAGCTATATAAGTTGTCACCATTGGGGAAAGCTGGGTGAAGGGTACACCAGAATATTTCTGTAGCTTTAATGATAGAATTTTAAGTCTACAATTACTTCAAAATGAAAAAAGAAGCTTTAGAGAGCCTAAAATATAAAAATGTATTGAATTATAAAAAATTTATAAAATAAAATTTGTAAAAATTTATAAAATAAAAATATACACATATATTTATTTTTATTTATATGTCAGAAAATTATCCAGAAAACAGTTCTTAGAAACATTAAAATCAATAAATGTGTTATACTCAGAATGAAGAAAGAGAAAAAAAGCTCCTGGGGTAATTTTTTTTTTCATATTAAGGGAGGACAGTAAGGGAAATAAATGAGATATAAGACAAAAGAAGGGCCATGAAAAAGTCCCAGGATAATGAAAAGGAGATCCCAGGTTGGAAGCTATGAACCAGTAATGAAGGGTGAGGAGGCTAGATGGACATCTCCAGCAGAGACTCCTTCAAGAAGATGAGATTGGATGAGGTTGAAAATAATTTGTAATATGAAACAATGTGTTAAGAGGAGATTTTGAAAACTATTGGAAAGTTTGAGGGTGAAAAACAAGCAAAAAAAAAAAAAAAGTAAAGAAAAAAAGACAATTTCAGGGAAAAGAAACCCCATGCAGGTATAAAAAAATAAACTATTAAGTGACTCAGCTCAAATAGCATATTTATTCATAAAGATATAATCAGCATGTGTTTCTTTCTGCCCCAAGTTGTAAAACTATATGCAGAGGATGTGAAATATGCATGTGTGTGGTGCTTGGGAGTTAGAAATAGAAAAGGGAGTTAAATCCCGATTTTTCATAGTGAGAAGATCAATGTGTGGAGTGTACTAACATTAATAAAGGAAGTGTATTTCACAGGGCCTGGTTTCCGAGACCTTGTAGTTTCAGGTATAGCCTAATTTTTTAAAATTACACATAGAAATGTTAAGCTTGTGAAAGACAGGAAACTTTCCATGGGCTAAAGTCTCTGTTGTAGATAAAGAATTGTAACACAGCAAAATTGCTGGCTCTAAGGGCAGATGTCCTTGGTGCAGCCAAACCTAATGATTGTTGCCATGACAATTATCTTACTGTTCTTTTGTAATGATCTATGTTCCTTTTCTGTAATTTTCTGGCCTTGAGAATAAATACTGAGAGAAGACCCTAGTTCAGTGTTATTTTCCAAGGAGGAATGCCTCTTTCTTGAGGGTTCCTGGGAAAATTAACCCCTTTAGGGCTTCTCACTGATCAGAAGAAATGGGCTTTGAGTAATCCTTTGTGTTTCCATCACCCTGGAGGAGAGGTGACACAATCCTTCTCAACTTTTTTTTTTTTCTCACATATGGAATTCATTGAAAATGGTATTTGTCGGGTGCATGGCAGAACTAGAGGGATTTAGAGTTCCAAATGGGGATATTTACTACTCAAGATAAACGTGTATGATTAGTTGATTTTTTAAACCATGTGAATAAATGTGATGATTGAAATCTTAAAAAAATACTACTTTGGTTGCATGTGTGACAAGGCAAGTTAACATATTAAAAGGAAAAAAAATATGTTAAAATATGTTGAATTATTTATTTTTTCTCCTGTATCAACCATCAAGGATGTGATAGGAAGAATTATGGTCCCAAAGAAGATTCCATGGTCTAATTTCTAGAACTATAAATATGATGAGGTATCACACCCATGAATATGTTGTTGTTCATGGCAAAAGGGACTTTGCAGATAAATTTCAAGTTACTAATTACTCTTAGAATAGAGAGATTATTTCAGCAATGGGTTTAATCTATGCAGTAATTTATGGATCAGGCTTCACTCTCCAAGGACTTAGCATCTCTTGGAACTGGTCCCAATTTTACTAAAAACAAGCCTAATCGATTCTAGGAAAGACACATTATATTTGGAATAAGACAGTTTTTAAAAATTAGATAGCTTTTAAGTAAATCATAATGCTCCATCTTCCCATAGACTTTTTTTTTTATTTCCTTTTTGTCTTTTTTCATGACCGGCAACCATACTGGACCGGGACCGGCAACGGAATCTCAACCCTCGGTGTTGTACCCGCACTTCGCTCAGCCAGTGAGCGGCTGGTTTGTATGTGGGATCCGAACCCTCGGCGGGAACGCCGCTGCGCTCCCAAATGGCACACTGTAGCAGTGCGCCACCGGGCCAGCCCTTCCCATAGACTTTTGCATCTTGTCTTATAAAGAGGTACTTTATACATTTACATTACCTTGTTGGCTCCTAAACACATTTGACTTTGTCAGCTGCAGACCCAAACTCGTTGATGGAACAGTATTGTGTGTCTCAGAAAGGGGAGGTAAGGGGGGAAATGCCTTTGAAAAGAGAGAAAAGAGGGATTTCTGCAAATTGAAAGGTGACTATGGGTTCTGGGGGCACTTGCAGCTTCTGATTTGCTCCCTAGAATCTCCCCCAGTGGGATACATGGACCTCAGAGAGGATGGATTCTTACATTCTTACATTGTCCTATCCAAAATCTAGACCATAGGCATTGCATTCTTGCAATTTTGGAAAAATTCCTGTGTTTCAAGTGTAGGATGGAAGCAACAGTTCACAGGAAACACAGGGTCTGCCTGAGCTGGGACAATGAATTTCTCCATGGTAACTGGTGTGAAGCAGTCACTGATGACAGAAATCACCTCTCCAATGACTTGGCACTATTTAAGACCCCAGAGTCCCTGTGCATATGTGCATACATGTGTTTGTGTGTATTGGGTAGGTATGGGGCTGAATGGGCAAGAACGACTGCATGAGTTAGACTCTCAAAGAGAGAATTTGAATAAAAATTGTAAATATATACAAGGATACTTCAAAAAGTTCATGGAAAGATTCACATTATTTTTCAATTCTATTTTTCCATGAACTTTTTGAAGTACGCTCATATTTCCTGAACACCAGAGTTTGTGGACTTAAAGTTAAACCCATTATATAAGCACTATAGAAATGTGTGCTAATCCAGCTGAATCAAAAAGTGGGAATTATAAGTATTATTCAGAATAAGTCAAATACAAGTTGGTGGTCATTCAGGAACTGGAAGTCAATTCAGGTAGGGACTCTACCAAGATAAAAATATCCTGGGGAGTTCAGGAAACTAATCCTTACTACAAAGGCAAAGGCAGCAAGGGTCATGTAGACAATCTCTCCTTATCTATACCTCATTATTCTACTACACATAACTTCTTCACTTGCTTCTAGGTAAAGAGTCGAGGCTTCCATTTAAGCTTTTAAAAACAATTCGTTGAATGCCTACTAAAGGCAAGCCTTTGTGCTATATTCTGTAGAAGACACATAAGACCCAGTCTGGATTATTCACAAGAGGGTGAGAGAACTACAATAGTGCATGTGATTTCAAAAAATAAGGAGGTTGGGGAGGAGATCTCTGGAAATATCTGTTTTAGAATTTTTGAAACAGGAAGAGTAAAACACAGAAGCCAGCGAGCATCATGAAAATTGTAGAAAGAAGGGTTGGTTTACAACTCCAAATGTATCAAAGAGATCGAAGAGAAAAAAGATTGAAAAATGCGATTAGGTTTGGAAGGTTAAGAGTAACTGGTGGCTTTTGATAACACAATTTCCTTTGACCACAGAGGATGTAATTATATGTCATAAAGGTTGAGAAATTAGAAGCAGAGAGTGTAAGCATATGGAAGGGAGCTAGAGCTACATTCAATACACGTTTTGACATATTTTCTATTATCCCAACTGCATCTCTGCCATTTCCTGTCTCTAGGAATGTTTTAGTCTCCTTCCTATCCACCACATTCTGTATTCGCTGCTGCATTCTACTTTGTTAATAAATGAACAAACCTGATGTACATATCCTTAACATAGATTTGGGGAGGGAAAGTAACTGGAAGGATTGAAAACAGCAAAACGGGAACGGTGGGAGTGATTTTTGTTTCTTGCTGACTCTTTTAGTTCTTGAGCCTTTAGAGAGCCTGCATAGGCTACTTCCTGGTTAACTCTCTGAGCCCCTATAATGCATAAAGGAGGCGAAAAATATTAGCGCTATAGAAAAGTAGGTCCATTCAAATGTTAAGTTGTAAAATGAATTGGTGATCCTAAATTGAAACACTAACTTTGATGACAAAAAATTTACCTGTGAGTTATTCTTTCACCCCCAGAAAGTGCTAATATACAGTAACATTTGGTTTGTTGTCATTTTATTTTAATTAAGGACAAATTCTTTGAGTGTTCTGCATGCCCTTCATTTTCTGGTGAGTGAATCGAGTAGCAACCACAGTTGAGAACATAGGTTGGAGGAGACTATATTGTTTTTCCCTAATTTGGTTCCATGACTGGGGGCAGTGTAGTATTTGGTGGATTCTGCATGTTAGTCAGAGTCTTCAGATTGCTGTTGATCTTTTGGACAAAATGAGGTAGAAGTAACGTTCAGCATTTCTTTGTACGAATTTGGGCAAACTGTGCTTTGTTGCATATCATGTTCTGAATCTATATCAGACAAATAGGTTAAATATGTGTCTTGTACTGAGCTTTGGCAGAAAGAAGAATGAAAATCCAGCTTCATGTCTTCTGATTTCAGGTCCCTTGGTTTTTGGACTGTATATTTCTTGTCCTTTGGTTCGATGTCTCTTGTCTGCATACTGCTTCCTTGCATATCTTCTTTCTGTTTAACTCTGGATTGAAAGTCTTGTTGGTTCTTATCTTGACCCTTACTTCCTTGAAATGGAACATTTTGTAATTGCTGATGTAGGTTATCTTGGGCTGTGGTGTGCTGAGTTTGGGCTTCTTGGTACAGAGCTTTCTGCTCTAGGACTTCTTTCTCTAATACATCTTGGGTTTGCCAGGCATGGGGTTCCCTGTTCAGGGAATGCTGCATTTCTAATTGACATTCTCGTGCCTTCCAATTTTTGTTAATCCAGTCTTGAGTTCTCCAGTCTTGACCTCGAGTCGCCCAGTATGGAGATAGCTTTTGGGGGGATTGCAAGTCTTGGTTTTGCTGGATTTGGGATTCCCAACCTTTTGTAGCTTTCTCCATTTGAGCTTGCTGTCCTTCAGCTTGCCAATTTTGGGATTGTCCCTTTGGGGATTTCTCCTCTTGGGCTCGCTGGTCTTTGGTTTGTTTCTTTGGAGATTGCTCCTCTTCAGCCATTTGGTCTTCAACTTGCTCTTTTCTGGATTTTTGCTTCGGGAATTGTCCCCCTTTGGACTGCCAATCTTCAACTTGCTGATCTGGAAGTTTCTGTATGGTTTGATTATATTGGGCTTGCTTATCTATGGAGTGCCTCTTTGAGGATACCTGATCTTTGATTTGCTGGTCTAGGGATTTTCTTTTTGGAGATTTCCAGCCTTTGCTTTGCCGGTCTGAGGAATGCCTTCTTGGGGGTTGCCAGTCTTTGGTTTTCTGGTCTAAGGAATGCCGTTTTGGAAATTTCTTGCTGTGGAGTTCCTCTTCAGATTTCCATTCTTGGGTCAGTTCCATGACTTCTGATCGAATGTTTTGATATGATACATATAAAAATTGCTCGTTTTGAGGTTGGGGATCTAAGGGTTGTTGAGGTAGGTGTTGTATATTAGGGAACTGTGCTTGATGGACAGTTCGGGCTTCGGATAGAATGGCTTGTGTTGGTATATCTGGGAGTGCATTTTGGTATAGCATGTCTTGGGATGGGATACTTTGGTATGGTGTATATTGGGATGGTGTACTTTGGTAAGGTGTGTATTGGGATGGTGTACTTTGATATGATGTGTGTTGGGATGGCATACTTTGGTATGGTGTGTCTTGGTATACTATGTTTTCAGATGGCATGTTGTGGGATGATGTGTCTTGGCATATATCTTGAGAGGGCAAGTTTTCAGATGTCAGGTCATAAAACTGTTTGACATGGGATTTGGGGGATTTAGATGTCATGGCTTGTTCTGGTTGGGATTTTACTGGCAGAGCTTGGGATGGCAAGTCTCCAGGTGGTAAAGTTTGGAGTGTGTATACAGAATGGATTGGAAAACCTTGGTCCTGCAGCAATTGAGTTTGTCTTTGGGGAGGTTGTACTATAGAAGATTGCAGGTTTTTGTCTTTTAGTTTTTCAATTGTAGACTTTTGCTGACTGTGCATAATATTTTCTGGGAGTCTTTTCTCTAATATGGGAGGCAAATGTTTCAGCTCAATTTCTTCCTCTGAAAATTTGAAAGGTGAAGCGATCCTTTTCTGTTGTTCATATGGCACAGATGCAGCAGGAGTGTATTGACTGTCTGTACTATAATTACCTGGCTGTGACACGGATTGGGAGGGTAAAGGACTTTTTGAGACTCTTAACTTGAAGAAAACATAGCCTCCAAAGAAAACAGTTTGTGCATTTGTTGTTGTATTATCACTGGAAGATTCTTCTTGAAGCTCAAATTGTAATTGATCAATTTCTTCTGGGGCAGGTCGTTCAATATTTTGAGTAACATCCGAAGGCAAGAAAAATACAATCTATAAAACCAAGGGGGAGAACATTAATACAACATAATCATTTTTGATGCTCTCTCCTTTTTGTATCCCAAATTATTTTTCATCTCTGACTTAAAACAGAAGATAGGAAGTAACATCCAAATGAAAAATGAGAAAACTAACAACAGTCCTGCCTTTACCATCAACTCATTTGTATTATTTTGGACAAGTCATTGGCCCTCATTTCCTTGAATATTGAACAGATGAATTTGATAAATATTTCCTCAAATATTCCTCCCGTACTCAATATCATAAAGCTTTAAGACATTTTCAATCATTCAGTCAATATTCACATATTCAGGTTTAATCGATAATGATTTATTGATCATCTAGGCAAACTAAATGCTGGGGATCAAAGATAGTTTTGCCTGCTTCTCACAATTATAAGTAGACCAACATACCAGTAGGCAACCATAATACAATTCGGCAAATGCTATTCTAGAAATATGAGTAGGTACTAAGTGCTTTAGGGTAATATAGAAGATGACCTAATTCTGAGAGAGCCAAGAAATGCTTCATAGAAGAGGTGGTATTTGGTCTATGTCTTGATGGATGAATAGGAATTCCTCAGGCATAATAGGTAAGATGAAGTAAGATCGGAGTCAAAATCCGTGTAGAGGAAATGGTGGAAAGAGTGGGCACAGGAAACAAGGTTATGATACAACATGTTCTGGTAGCAGATGGTAAGAAGTTAGATATCATTACATGGTATGCTATGTTAGGAAATTTAAACTTTCCCTTTCAGATAAATCTATTGGAGTTTTGTAAACAGCTAAGTGACAGCATCTGATGTAATCATTTTTTTTAATCAAAAATTTTTTTAGATAATTTGTTATACATACATGTGGGGTACAACATTGATTTTCAATGTTCAACTGTGTACAATGTGCAATGTATTATGTTCCAGCAATCCCACTACTGGGGATATATCCAGAGGATTGGAAAACATCAGGTCTGATGTAATCTTTAGTCTTTACGTTCTTTCTTATGTTATTATTATAATATATTTTTTTAGGGAATTGTCATTACAGCCCAACCTGCTGATTTTTAGCAACTTGTGCCCTTTCTGACTAGTCATTCATACAGTCAGAATAGACTAGTCTATTAATTATGAATGAATGAATTATGCTTACTTTGTTGGTTAATAGCAGGCTTATATTGAAAATCTATACATTCTCTTACACTATACACTGTCTTTCTCCACCCTCTTAATCTGTTTTTCACACCTATATTTTATCCCCATTGGAGGACTATTTGTGAGAATAAATGGTACTTTGGGGAAAATTTCTGTATTTTTACTCATCCCCAAAATTTGTTTAACTTGAATTGTATTTTATTTGTTAAAAGGGAGGCTTGGAGGCATAAATTATAGTTTCTTTGTTTATTCAAGCTCTTACATGCTATGATTTTAAATTTCTTCATTCTTAATGATAACTAAGTGATTACCAGGTGCTAGGCAAAGTTCCAAAGTCATCTCAAGTAATTGTTATAGCATCTCTATGAGGTTATTATCCTTGTTTTAGAACTGAGGGACCTGAGGTTCAGAGATGTTAAGTAACCAGAAACATGTCATAGAGATGTTCACTTGTGAAACTAGGATTAATACCTTGCAGTTGAATCCTGGGTCCTGTGCTTTCCTTTCTAATCTATGCTTCCCTGTAATAACCATTTCAGACACTCCTTACTTCAGGGTGGTTATAACTGAAGGCTGTACAAAATAAGGCTTTTCGCCACAGTAGCTGGCACAAATAAATTTCTTAGTAAATATAAAGAGTTCACCTTCCCCTTTATTTTCTTGAGACCAAGGTGCATATTGTATTATCTTTGAATACACTGTTGTACTTGGGACATTGCTATGCCATGGTAGATTAAAAAGCTCTACTGAATTCAGTAGAGTAGTTATTTAGTGTGAGTAATTTGCTTTAATATTTCTCCTAAAGGGCTTCCAACAGGGTTTTGTATTCTTCTGTAGTTGTATAATATACAAATAATATAATAAAGATGTAATCATGAGATGAAAAATTATAAAAGCCAATAACCATTCATGATTAGAACTCTCTGCTAAACAAGATGTCAGATTTAAGAATAATGTCATATTTAAGAGTAAAATAATGAACATTTTTTCACCCTAAGATAAGGAACAAGGAAAGGTTGGGTATGCTTAACACACTCTATACTGGAGAGTCTATGCAGTGTAAGAAGGCAAGAAAAGTAAAGCATAAAGTTTGGAAGTAAAAATGTCTTTATTCACAGATAGAGTGGTTATCTAACAAGAAAATTCTAGGAAATTTATTAAAAAGCTACAAGAAGTAATAAGTAAGTTTAGTAACATCATAGTATATAAAAATGTACAATAAATTTACATTTTTATATGTAGGAATGGACATTTGAAAAATAAAATTTAAAAATACCAAATGCAATATCAAGAAAAAACATAAAATAATTAAGGATGCACTTAACAAAAATTTGTAAAACTTATACACTGAAAACTACAAAATATTGCTGAGAAAAATGAAAGGAGATGTAAGAAGATATAGACATATTTCATAGACATGAATCAGAAGATTAAATATTATTAAGAAGTAAATCATTCCTAAATTATCTGTAGGTTCAGTGCAATTTCAACCAAAATTCCAGCAAGATTTTTGTAGGAACTGATAAACTGATTGTAAAACTTACATGGAGATTCATAGGACCTAGAACAGCCAAAACAACTTTGAAAACGAAGAGCAAAGTTGAAAAATTTATACTACCTGATTTCAAGAATTACTCTACAGTGACCTCAGGAAAAAAGGCAGAAAAGGAAAATCCAGGAATCCTTCTTTTTACCTAAACAACAACTGTGTTGTAAGAAACTGTACAAAGTAAATATCTTGTAACTCTGGAGTCTATTTGAACACTTGCAGCTTTGGGGCAAGAGCTTAGCTAGTAAATTGAGGTTAAGATAAGTCAATTTTAGCTTTCGGCATGGCAGTTATTACCCATCTCCTAACTCCAGCCCTGTGGCGGGCAGCTGGAAAATGGTAGCCCATGTTCCTGGTGTGGTTTTCTGAACCTTGTCCTCAAAATATCAACGTTCTGTGTTCTGATTTCCTATTGCTACTTCTGATCAGTGAGGTGCTGTCACAGAGACTGGATGGCATTATTTCAACCCTCACTGGCTAAAGTAGCTTCCCAGGGAAGCTGTTCCAATTTTCAATGTTGTTTGGGTGTTTGAAAACAACTGCATATATGAGTGAATGTGGAAAGCTACCATGCACGCCCAGGGAAAGATGCAGGCTCAGAAAAGACCCAAGAAGATCTTAAGCTTTCACCTCAGGCTGATCCTTGGCATAGAGATGCTCTGCAACAAACGAAAAAACAAAAAGCCACCAAATCCTGAGGAAGGGGAGAATATGACCTCCACAGTTAACACGTTATAGGATTCAAATGTTCAGTTTTCAACAAAAAAGTACAAAATATGTAAACAAACAGTAAAATATGACCCATTCAATGGAACAAAATAAATTGACAAATCATACCTGAGGAAGCTGAGACTTTGGAACTACTAGGCAAAATCTTAAAAAAAAAAAAAAAAAAAAAAAAAAAAAACTGTATTAAGAATGCAAAGAGCTAAAGAAAGTCATGGAAAACCACAGAAAAATGAGGTATGAACAAAATAAGAATATCAATAAAGAGATACAAATTATAAAAAAGAAATGTAAAAAGAAATTCTGGAGCTAAGCTCTGGAGCTAAAATAAAAAATATGCTAGTGGGGTTCAAAAGCAAATTTGAACAGGCAGAAGACAGAATCAGCAAGCTTGAAGACAGGGCAATTGAAATTATTGTGTCTGAAGAATAGAAGCAGAAAGGAATGAAGAAAAGTAAACAGAGGCCAAGGGACCTGTGAGACACCATCAACAGACAGCATGTGCACTGCAGGAATCCCAGAAGAGAAAGAGAAAATGGCAAAAATAATATTTGAAGAAATTAAGGCTGAAAACTCCCCAAATTTGATAAAATACATGAATCTACAAATCCAAGAAGCTGAATAAACTCTAAGTTGGATAAAGTCAGTGACTCACATCATGACACTTTATAGTCAATCTGTTAAAAGCAAAAGACAGAGAATCTTGAAAGTAGAAAGAGAGGAGTGATTCGTCAAGTACAAGAAATCCTCAAAAAGATTATCAGCCAATTTCTCATCAAAAACCTTGGAGGCCAGAAGGCAGTGAGGTGATATATTCAAAGTGCTGAAAGAGAATTGTTTATCTGGCAACATTGTCGTTGAAGGTGAAAGAAACTAAGACATTTCAAAATAAACAAAATTTGAGGAAGTTCATTACCACTAGAACTGCCTTGCGAGAAATACTAAAGGGAGTCCTTGAAATGAAAGAAACTAGACAATAACTCAAAGCCATATGAATAAATAAAGGTTTCAGTAAGGTAAATGCATGGACAATTATGAAAGCTGCCATATTGTAATTTGGGACTGTAAATCCAGTTTTTATTTTCTACATAATTTAAAGTACAAATGCATAAAAACAATTATTAATTTATGTATTGGACATCAAATGTACAGATATAATTTGTGACAACAATAACAAAGTGGGGGTGGAGCTATATATGAGCAGAGTTTTTGTATGTTATTAAATTTAAGTTGATATAAATTCAAATTAGATTATTATAACTTTAGGGAATTAAATGGTTTCCCAATAGTAACTAAAAAAAAAAATCTACAGAATATATACAAAAGGAAATGAAGAGGTAGCCAAAATATTTTACTACAAAAATATTAACTGAACACAGTGGAAGGCTGTTATGGAGGAAATGAGGTACAAAAAAGCTGTAAGACATATGGAAAAAATAGCAAAATGGCAGAAGTAATTTTCTTCTTAGTATTTATTTGTTAATGGATAAAATCCTTCAATCAAATAACAGGGATTGGCTGAATGAATTAAGGAAAAAAGGCATGATACAATTATATCCTGTGTAGAGGAGA